AGGCAGGAACCATACACAGTTTTAAGACGAGGTTTGATAAAGCTCATGGAGCGGGGAGAGAGAGGACCTAGTAGCAACCGGTGAAGAGGCGGGGCCAGGAGCTAGGACTCGACCCCTGCAACCACAAATAGGTGAGTACAAATAGGTGAGTACACATCACACACACACACACACACACACACACACACACACACACACACACACACACACACACACACGCACGCAACCACAAATTGGTGAGTACACACACAGACAGTCACACACACACACACACACACACACACACACACACACACACTTTAGTTTAATATCTTTATGCACCCCATACCCATCCTGTGGGCGGTAGTCAAAAGATTACAAAGGTACATAATGGGTCCAATGACTGGACCCCAAAGTTATGATAGTTGAACTAGTTACAAAGGTAATGAACTCCAGGTAGATCTGGTCACAATCATGGCAAGTTACAGAGGTAATGAATCAGCTTCACTCCTATACATGGTTACAGTCATGAGCAAATTACAAAGTAATGAACCACTGATACGTCCACACCTGGTCACAATTGTAATGAGTTATAAATACAAATATTAAGTGGTTCATACACGCACACTAGCGCGCGCGCACACACATACACACAGGGCACGGGCAGTTGGTATCAAGGTGTTGACTGCGGGTCTAGAGTGATAAGGGATGACCTATATAATATCCTCCACACTTCACTATCTTATCTTCTCACATGTTATGATTTCTTAATACGTTCAGCTTGTAATTGTGTCAATGATATTGACACACTGCATCATACCTGTAGTCATGTCTGCCTTAACTAGCGGAGTTTTCCCGGTTGAGTGGCAACTCTTGGACCTGTCGCTTGACTTTAAGCCAACAAGTGTACTTTAGTTCTATCATACATGTAAAAAAAGTATGGTGAAAGTACATCTCTTGTCTAGTTTTTGGTCGTGTTCATTATACAGTCATTAGTGTTCATTATACACTCATTAGTGTTCATTATACAGTCACTCATTAATATCAACTTGGGTATTTCTTGTTCATCATTATTACTGCATTTATTGCTTGCTGTGCAAGACTTTGTGCATTTTTTGAAAGAACAGATGATGCTCAAGATTAACAAAATAACAAATTATTATCATTATTTGCTTGTTGATCCTCCCCCCCCCCCCCCTCGCCCTGGTCTCTACAATATCATATATTTTGTTCAACATGTCAGTATTTCATAGTGTTTTAAAAACGTTTTTCATAGGTTAAAAATCCAGGGTAACTCAAGAAAGTTAAGCGACCCACAACAGCCGTCTAGCATGGTTACCCATCTACAGCTAGTTGAACATGGACTTATTTTTAATTAATATTATTAGACAAACTGTTGTGTGCGTATATTTATTTCCCAACACTTGAAAATCTCCAGAGGTCTTGAATAAATCCACAACAGCTGGGCAGTACTCAGGTACCTAACACACCAGTCGTCTCCCAACAAGGTAAGATGACCCGAAAAAATAAGCAACTTTCACAATCATTTGTTCAATCATTATCTTGGCAGATTATTATTATTATTATAATCAAAAAGAAGCGCTAAGCCACAAGAGCTATACAGCAGAAACGTCCTGATATCAGGTGTGAGGTATACTTGTTCATATGTTTTACCAACTCGAGGGTGAAACCTGAAGCTTTACGAGTGACCCTTAAAGGTTTACCTCTACCCTATGAATATTATATAATAATAGTCTTTCCTTGTAACTCTTGCTCCTCGGCTCCATAAAGAGTATTGGCTAACCTTTAATTTATTTGCTGGGCTAGATGATGGCTCCATGCAGGTGCTCAGTACTCGAGAATTGTTCATACATAACCTATGTATGATAATCTTGAAAGTAGGGTATTCGTTTTCTATCCTTACGTACGCCACTGACCTCCAGTTTTCATGTTTATCTATGACATTTTAACGTGTGTGTACTCGCAGCTGGTATGGTTTTATTTTCCGGCGACTAGTTTTCTTTTGCACTTGTTAAAGGTTACTGGGTCAGTTCAGTAAGCCAGCTTTAAGTGTGTTAGTTTCTTGCAGCCATCGTCTGTTCTCATCCTCATCAGTTTTGTCTGCTAATATTAGCATTGATAAATTAGACACATGTGCAACTCTTGGGTATCTTTATTGAGGAAACGTTTCGCCACACAGTGGCTTCATCAGTCCATACGTAGGAGAAACTTGAAGAACAGGAGGAGAATGAGGTAATCAGTCCCTCAACCTTGAGTCGATGTGTTCAGTCCATCAATCTTGATGGACTGAACACATCGACTCAAGGTTGAGGGACTGATTACCTCATTCTCCTCCTGTTCTTCAAGATTCTCCTTTGTATGGACTGATGAAGCCACTGTGTGGCGAAACGTTTCCTCAATAAAGATACCCAAGAGTTGCACATGTGTCTAATTTATCAACATGTCGGTTCTCTGAACCATTCATCTACAAAACATTAGCATTAAGAAGTCTGTCTTTGCTTTCACTTAATTTCATTTGCATATTTCAAGAAAGTACAAATCTTGTGCCTTAGCCTCAAGAGAGTTTTATTTTTATTACACAATACACTCTTCGTAATGACCATTAACTCCTGTCTTCAAGTACTGACACATCACTGGCATGTCTCCCCATTTTCTTCATGCCTTGTCTCTCCATTTTTCTACATGTCTTTTATTGCGCAGTGTCCAAAATGTTCTTAAAACGGACATAGATAAACAAATTTATAGAATAGTTTTGCAACATATATAACAAAGGCATGAAATAGTTTATTTGAAAATGAAGAAATATATATTTAATAATAAATAATCGTTTAATGAAGGGTCTAGAAAGGCGAAAAAAAAACATGAAAAAGGAGAAATCAATGAACGGGTGGGGCTTGAACTCATGGCCAAGGAGTCCTGAAAGTCAGTGCGTTAACCACTCACCCAGATTACATAAATGAAATCGTTAGAAACTCAAATGCAAAAACTGGAAAACTTCGAAATTACCTCTGATAATTAAATGTTAAGAAATAGTAAATATGCTGTTCATATATATATATATATATATATATATATATATATATATATATATATATATATATATATATATATATATATATATATATATATATATATATATATATATATATATATATATATATATAAGATAGATAGATAGATAAAATTGGCCTAATAGGTAAAACTGATCAGTTAACAAGAACCCGTTTAAAATAAAGTCCTTTCTAATCTTTTCTCTTATACGTTTAAAGATATATATTTTTTTAATTGTGTTAAAGTAAAAATTAATAATTTTGTTCCAAAAAACTTAGAAAATTTACCTAATCTTATTATAACAAGCGCAATTTAATTTAGCCTAATGCAACTAAATATATTTTAGGTAAGTTTACAATAATTTAATAACAAACACAATGACATATATTTTATTCGTTAGGTTCAGAATGATTTTTGCGAAATTATTGCATACACAAATTTTCGCTTCCCTTATTCGGCAAGAAGAGCGTTGCTATTTAAGCCAAAATAGCAAATGTTACTTATTCGGCACAACATGTGTGTGTGTGTGTGTGTGTGTGTATACTCACCTAATTGTGGTTGCAGGGGTCGAAACTCAGCTCCTGGCCCCGCCTCTTCACTGAACATTACTAGGTCCTCTTCTCCCTGCTCCATGACCTTTATCATACCTCTTCTTAAAGCTATGTATGGTTCCTGCCTCCACTACATCACTTACTAGACTATTCCACTTCCTGACTACTCTATGACTGAAGAAATACTTCCTAACATCCCTTTGACTCATCTGAGTCTTCAACTTCCAAGTGTAACCCCTTGTTTCTGTGTCCCCTCATTGGAACATCCCGTCTCTGTCCACCTTGTCTACTCCACGCATGCGTGCTTGACCCGGTGTGGGTTCCAAACTGGTGCTGCATACTCCAGTATGAGCCTGACGTACAAGGTGTACAGTGTCTTGAATGATTCCTTACTAAGGTATCGGAACGCTATTCTCAGATTTGCCAGACGCCCATATGCTGCAGCAGTTATCTGGTTGATGTGTGCTTCCGGAGACGTGCTCGGTGTTATACTCACCCCAAGATCTTTCTCCTTGAGCGTGTGTGTGTGTGTGTACTCATCATATTTGTGGTTGTAGGGGTCGAGTCATAGCTCCTGGCCCCGCCTATTCACTGATTGCTACTGGGTCCTCTCTCTCCCTGCTCCATGAGCTTTATCAAACCTCGTCTTAAAACTATGTATGGTTCCCGCCTCCACTACGTCACTTTCTAGGCTATTCCACTGCCTGACAATTATGACTGAAGAAATACTTCCTAACATCCCTTTGTGTATGTATCCCTGGAACCATTATATACCTCTGTAATCTTTTGACTACCACCCACAGATCTACCTGTAACTACCTTTGTAACTTGTTCAGCTATCAAAACTTTGGGGTCCAGTCCCTGGACCCATTATGTACCTCTGTAATCTTTTGACTACCCCCCACAGGATGGGTATGGTGTGCATAATAAAAATATTAAAATAACTAAATGTGTGTGTGTGTGTGTGTGTGTGTAATATGAGACAAGCAATAAAGGTGGGAGAACAGCATAGATAGCTCTGCTCCTATAACTACAAACTGATAGCTTCAAGGAAGGTATATGGCCCCCGGTGAAGGGTTCCTCATCCAAGGAACTGGAGCTACCAACCCTTTCCCTGGATTGAATTTGATTGTTTCCCATTCCCTGAGGCATCATATGGCCCCTGTGGCTTTAGAGCTCCATAACATAAAATGAAAATTGGTAGTGACACTTGGGAGTGACTCAGGTGTACGTGGTATGTCTGAAAGGACGTTCCTAGACGCAGGTGAAGGTCTCTTGTTCAAAGATGTAGAACCTGATGTCACTTATATCGAACAAGTGCCTCCCATTCACACAGGCACTGTATAACCTCTTCGGGTTTAGCGCTCCACTCCTCCCATAAATAATAAGCTGACGTACCTGGTAGAGAAGAAAGAGGAGAGGAGAGGAGGCGGGTGCCAGCAGCCGTCTTGTCAACACAACGCTCAGATCAAAACTGGTTCCACTTTTTGACCTCGTACATGAATGGTATACGTTTAGGTATTTTTGTACACTTAAATAACACTAGCAGACATGGTCATGATGATAATAACAATGTTGCGTCACACTTAGCCATGACCAGAATACAGAGAAGAAAAGTACTGTTCACAGCAGCAAGCTTCGTCACCAGGAAGCTGCAGCATAGTGCTGCACCTGTTTCAAACCTTTCACTAACACCGGTGTTTGATCTACTCCCTTCCCTCCACCATCACTAAGAGCCTTCCTCCCACCTCCACCATCACTAAGAGTCTTTAACCCTCCACCATCACTAAAGCCTTCCTCCCACCTCCACCATCACTAAGAGTCTTTAACCCTCCACCATCACTAAGAGCCTTCCTCCCACCTCCACCATCACTAAGAGTCTTTAACCCTCCACCATCACTAAGAGCCTTCCTCCCACCTCCACCATCACTAAGAGTCTTTTAACCTCCACCATCACTAAGAGCCTTCCTCCCACCTCCACCATCACTAAGAGTCTTAACCCTCCAACCATCACTAAGAGCCTTCCTCCCACCTCCACCATCACTAAGAGTCTTTAACCCTCCACCATCACTAAGAGCCTTCCTCCACCTCCACCATCACTAAGAGTCTTTAACCCTCCACCATCACTAAGAGCCTTCCTCCCACCTCCACCATCACTAAGAGTCTTTAACCCTCCACCATCACTAAGAGCCTTCCTCCCACCTCCACCATCACTAAGAGTCTTTAACCCTCCACCATCACTAAGAGCCTTCCTCCCACCTCCACCATCACTAAGAGTCTTTAACCCTCCACCATCACTAAGAGTCTTCCTCCCACCTCCACCATCACTAAGAGCCTTCCTCCCACCTCCACCATCACTAAGAGTCTTCCTCCCATCTCCCCCGCTATGATAACACTACAGTAGCTACTCTTGAGATTCTACAGCGGATGCTTTTGATCATATTTCATTGGATTTTGTCCCTTCACTGTTTGTGTGTGTGTGTGTACTTATTCGTGATTGCAGGGGTCGAGTTATAGCTCTTGGCCTCACCTGTTCGCTGGTCGCTACTAGGTCCACTCATTCTGCTCCATGAGTTTTATCGTACCTCTTCTTAAAGCTATGTATGGATCCTGCCTCCGCTACATCACTCTCCAGACTGTTCCACTTCCTAAGAAATCTATGACTGAAGAAGTACTTCCTAGTATCCCTGTGATTCATCTGAGTTTTCATCTTCCAGGTGTGACCCCTTTGTTGCTGTGTCCTATCTCTGAAACTTTGTCCCTCTCCACCTTGTCAATTCCTCTCAATATTTTATTTGTCGTTATCATGTCTTCCCTATCCCTCCTGTCCTCCAGTGTTGTCAGATTGAGTTCCCTTAACCTCTCCTCGTAGGACATACCCCCCAGTTCCAAGACTAGTCTTATTGCAAACTTTCTCTAATTTCTTGACGTGTTTGACCAGGTGTGGGTTCCATACTGGTGTTGCATACTTCAATACGGGTCTGACGCACACGGTGTAAAGTGCCGTGAATGACTCGTTACTTAGATATCGTAACGTTATTCTCAGGTTTGTCAGACCCCCATATGCTGCAGAAGTTACTTGGTTGAGGTACGCCTCAGATGTGCTCGGTATGATGCTCACCCCAAGATCCTTGTCCTAGAGTGAATTTGGATTCTTTGACCTCTTAGTCTGTACTCCGTCTGCGGTCTTCTTTGTCCTTCCACAAGATTCATAACTTTGCACTTGCTAAGGTTAAGCTCCAGAAGCCATTTGTCGGACCAGGCTTGCAGCCTGTCCAGATCCCGTCTGTGTGTGTTAATTACCATTTTGTCCTAGGCACATGTCGATTAGACGCTAGGCCTGTTGTATATGCGTGTGTGTGTGTGTGTGTGTGTGACTCACCTAGTTGTACTCACCTAGTTGTGGTTGCAGCGGTCGAGTCACAGCTCCTGGCCCTGCCTCTTCACTGGCCGCTACCAGGTCATTCTTCCTGCTTCATGAGCTTCATCATACCTATTCTTAAAGCTATTTACAAGAGTCACTAATACTCGCGCAACGCCAACCGAAATTAAAGTAGGTTCGAGAGTTATACTGACACTAGGCCTGTTGTACATGCGTGCTTGCGTACTCACCTAGTTGTGGTTGCAGGGGTCGATTCACAGCTCCTGGCCCTGCCTCTTCACTGACCGCTACTCGGTCACTCTTCCCGCTCCATGAACTTTATCACAACTCTTCTATGGATCCTGCCTCCACTACATCACTTTCCAGACTATTCCACTTCCCGACAACACTGTGACTGAAGAAATACTTCCTAACATCCCTGTGGTTCATCTGAGTCTTCAACTTTCAACTGTGACCCCTTGTTGACGTGTCTCATCTCTGGAACATCCTGTCTCTGTCCACCTTGTCTATACCTCTCAGTATATGTCGTTATCATATTCCCCCTAACTCTTCTGTCTTCCAGTGTCGTCAGGTCGATTTCTCTTAACCTCTCCTCGTAGGACATACCTCTTAGCTCCGGGACTAGTCTTGTTGCCAACCTTTGCACTTTCTCTAGTTTCCTTACATGCTTGGCTAAGTTTACCTGGAGTTTGCCTGGAGAGAGTTCCGGGGGTCAACGCCCCCGCGGCCCGGTCTGTGACCAGGCCTCCTGGTGGATCAGAGCCTGATCAACCAGGTTGTTACTACTGGCTGCACGCAAACCAACGTACGAGCCACAGCCCGGCTGATCAGGAACCGACTTTAGGTGCTTGTCCAGTGCCAGCTTGAAGACTGCCAGGGGTCTGTTGGTAATCCCCCTTATGTATGCTGGGAGGCAGTTGAACAGTCTCGGGCCCCTGACACTTATTGTATGGTCTCTAAACGTGCTAGTGACACCCCTGTTTTTTATTGGGGGGATGTTGCATCGTCTGCCAAGTCTTTTGCTTTCGTAGTGAGTGATTTTCGTGTGCAAGTTCGGTACTAGTCCCTCTAGGATTTTCCAGGTGTATATAATCATGTATCTCTCCCTCCTGCGTTCCAGGGAATACAGGTTCAGGAACCTCAAGCGCTCCCAGTAATTGAGGTGTTTTATCTCCGTTATGCGCGCCGTGAAGGTTCTCTGTACATTTTCTAGGTCAGCAATTTCACCTGCCTTGAAAGGTGCTGTTAGTGTGCAGCAATATTCCAGCCTAGATAGAACAAGTGACCTGAAGAGTGTCATCATGGGCTTGGCCTCCCTCGTTTTGAAGGTTCTCATTATCCATCCTGTCATTTTTCTAGCAGATGCGATCGATACAATGTTATGGTCCTTGAAGGTGAGATCCTCCGACATGATCACTCCCAGGTCTTTGACGTTGGTGTTTCGCTCTATTTTGTGGCCAGAATTTGTTTTGTACTCTGATGAAGATTTAATTTCCTCGTGTTTACCATATCTGAGTAATTGAAATTTCTCATCGTTGAACTTCATATTGTTTTCTGCAGCCCACTGAAAGATTTGGTTGATGTCCGCCTGGAGCCTTGCAGTGTCTGCAATGGAAGACACTGTCATGCAGATTCGGGTGTCATCTCCAAAGGAAGACACGGTGCTGTGGCTGACATCCTTGTCTATGTCAGATATGAGGATGAGGATGAGTGAGGCTTCCAAACTAGCGTTGCATATTCCAATATGGGCCTAACGTACAGTGTACAGGGTCTTAAATGACTCCTTATTTAGATGTCGGAATGCTGTTCTTAGGTTTGTCAGGCGCCCGTATGCTGCAGCAGTTATTTGGTTGATGTGCATCTCAGATGTTCCCAGTGTTATACCCACACCAAGATCCTTTTCCTTGAGTGAGGTTTGTAGGCTCTGGGCCCCTAGACTGTACTGCGTCTGTGGTCTTAAAATGGCAGATTTACACACACAACAAGATATTACTGCCATAAATGTACGCCTTGACACCCTAAAAAAGAAACAACTTTATACAATGCAAGAACTATACATGCCAGATAGAGAACATCCTATACAAGTGGTAAATACTACAGATTATACCATCAATACTCCTCCTCACAGGACTCAAAGAATGACTCTCCCACAGAGGGCCCGTCGTTTTATTCATAAAGATGATTACCCTCGACCCATGATATTGAGCAACCTCCCTGATGAAGAAGATTGGGTACCACCAGAACCCTTCTATGTATACTGAGAAAATCATCGCCCCCAATTAGGGAGACATCTTAAATAACTTTCTAATGTAAAATTATGCTATTGACTATTGTTGGACACCACCATTAAGAAGCTATTGTCACGAGCTTATAAACTGGCCAGAAAATTATTGCCTTTCTTGTCGTATAAATATCCGTTGTGCAATCGCGAAAAAAAAAAAAAAAAAAAAAAAAAAAAAAAAAAAAAAAAAAAAAAGCAATTGCAACTTGTATAATTACTACCAATTCAGAGTCATGTACTTATATACCTATTATATCTATGTGACTCTGATGGGTTAGTATTATACCCCTTAAAGAATATCTTATCAATTCACATACACTTTTTAAATTACACCAAAGTGGTTGGGCCACTTACCTTTTATATTCTACCTCTCCTCCCCTCCCACCCTTTTCCAATATTTCCATCCTTACCCATCCTTCTTCCTTACCCATCTTACCAAAGCTCTGGTCATTAGAACTAGAACTAACTAGGTCTTCTTTGCCCTTCCCCAATCTTCATGACTTTGCATATGGTGGGGTTGAACTCCAGGAGCCAGGTGCTGGACCAGGCCTACAGCCTGTCCAGATTTCTCTGTAGTTCTGCCTGGTCCACGTCCGATTGAAGCCTTCTCATCAACTTCACATCATCCGCAAACAGGCACACTTCGGATTCTATTCCTTCCGTCATGTTCACAAATACCAGAAACAGCACCGGTCCTAAGACTCATCCATGTGACACCCCGCTCGTTACAGGAGCCCACTCTGACACCTCGCCACGTACCATGACTCGCTGCTGTCTTCCTGACAAGTATTCCCTGATCCATTGTAGTGCCTTCCCTGTTATCCCTGCTTGGTCCTCCAGCTTTTGCACTAATCTCTTGTGTGTGTGTGTATGTATGTGTGTGGGTGTGTGTGTGTGTGTGTGTGTGTACCCGCCTAATTGTGGTTGCAGGGGTCGAGACTCAGCTCCTGGCCCCGCCTCTTCACTGGTCGAGCGTGTGTGTGTGTGTGTGTGTGTACTCACCTAGTTCTCACCTAGTTGAGGTTGCAGGGGTCAAGTCCAAGCTCCTGACCCCGCCTCTTCACTGGTCGCTACTAGGTCACTCTCCCTGTACCGTGAGCTTTATCATACCTCTGCTTAAAGCTATGTATGGATCCTGCCTCCACTACTTCGCTTCCCAAACTATTCCACTTCCTGACTACTCTGTGGCTGAAGAAATACTTCCTAACATCCCTGTGATTCATCTGTGTCTTCAACTTCCAACTGTGTCCCCTTGTTACTGTGTCCCATCTCTGGAACATCCTGTCTTTGTCCACCTTGTCAATTCCTCTCAGTATTTTGTATGTCGTTATCATGTTCCCCCTATCTCTCCTGTCCTCCAGTGTCGTCAGGTTGATTTCCCTTAACCTCTCCTCGTAGGACATACGTCTTAGCTCTGGGACTAGTCTTGTTGCAAACCTTTGCACTTTCTCTAGTTTCTTTACGTGTTTGGCTAGGTGTGGGCTCCAAACTGGTGCCGCATACTCCAATATGGGCAAACGTACACGGTGTACAGGGTCCTGAACGATTCCTTATTAAGATGTCGGAATGCTGTTCTGAGGTTTGCTAGGCGCCCATATGCTGCAGCCGTTATTTGGTTGATGTGGGCTTCAGGAGATGTGCCTGGTGTTATACTCACCCCAAGATCTTTTTCCTTGAG